CCTAAGCCCAGGGCCTCCTGCAAGTCCCAGCCCTGGCGTCGAGGCGACAGGGGCTCCTCGGGCCCTCGCTGCACTCGTCGCTGCGCGGCGCCCCCGCCCCCCCGAGTTGTCCAGGGGGGCGCGAGAGCGCGCTCTTCTTTTCTGATCGCCGCGCCCGCGACGATGGCGCCCGCGTGGCCGTCGGAGCCCAGGCTGCCGCGGCCCCTGAGGGCGCCGCCGTCGAGGTCCGAGAGCGCCTCGTTCAAGTCTGGCCGCGTCGGACGCCAGTCCGCGGCGGCCGCGGCGACGCCCGACCTGCCGCAGCGCGCGGCGGGGAAGGAGTTGCCCCACTGGGTCGCCAAGTCCTCGGCGCCGTCGCCGCCGACTTCGATTCCGCCACCGCCGAGCGGGCCGCTCTCTACATGGAGCCCCCTCTTCCGCGCTCCCGGGCGCTATCCCTGCGCAGCGCGCGCGCCCCCCGAGCGGCTCCAAGCAAGGCCCCCACGCCGGCTCGGCGGGGCCTCGGCGCCGCCCCCGTTGGCGTCGATCTCGCCTGCGCCGAGCGGCCCGTTCCCTCTATTGGGGGGGTCCTCCCAGGCGCCCCTGAGTGATCTCTCTGCACGCCGCGCGCGTCTCCCGGGCGGCCCCAAGCGGGGGGGGCCCTCCCACGCTGGGCGGCGAGCCACTTGGCCAGCCCGCCGATGCCCTGCGACGCCTTCGCACAGCTGCGGGGGGCCTGGCCGTGGCGCGCCTGCCATCAAGGCCGAGGGGCCTGTTCATCGCCGACGCGTGCCGCCTGCTGGCGGGGCGTTGTTCTCGAAAGCCGCCCACCTGGCCGCCGTCGAGCTCCTCGGGCTTTTCGAAGGGGCCGGCTGCCTGCTCGCTGCTCACCAGTTGCACCTGCGGCGCCTGGAGGGGGAATTCGGCGAGCTCGCTGGAGAGGCGGCCCTCCCGCCCTGGGCATGCAGACGGGCGCTGCTCCGACCCCCGCGGGCGCGGACCCCGGCGGCGCGCCCCCCTCGCCCCTGGCCGCAGGTGGCGGGGGGGGGGGAGACGTCGCGCGCGTTCCACCCGTCTGCTGCCAGTTGTCTGAGGTAGTCTGTCGCCCTGCCGCGCCGCGTCGGGGTCGCCCGACCTGGCCAAGTCCCCAAGCGCGCGGGGGAGCCGAGGCGATGTCCTCCTCCGCCTCCTCTTCCTCTTCCTCTTCCTCTTCTTCCTTCCGTTTGGGCCTTGAGAGGGGGAGGGAAGGGCTCGTAGCCACGCTGGAAGCGGTTCTGGGATTGGTAGGGAAACCTACTCGGAGCGGATTTTGCCCCGCCTCCTTGTCGTCGTCGTTTTGGTTTCTCGACGTCCTCGTCGCCACGGCGGCACGCGGTTCGGAAAGCTAGATGGTCCCCAGAGGTGCAGGGACTGGTTTTGATTTTATGTTTAATGAATCGAGGCAGGCCCAGACCTCCAGGCGTCACCACCAAAACATGAGGCCGCTTTGTTTTCAAAATCGTGGAACCGGACAGAGAAAACCCACGGCGATCCACTGGTCCCAGGGGTCGAAAGCTTCAAGGCCCAGGTCGCGACAAAAAAACAGGACGCTGCAGATCTTGGAAGGGGCAGCGGGGCCCAAAGACGACAAGACGGGCCCTCCAGAAAGGCAAAGTGTCGCTCGCAGCTGGCCGATCCTTGCCCCGCTTCTGCCTGCCTCCTTGCCTCTGGAGGGTGCGCCTGGCCGCTTTGACCTGGCCCCATTGCCACTGAAAGGGGCGCGGGCACTGTTGGCCTGTCCCTGCGAGTGTCGCAGATCACGGGGGCCACGCAGAAATTCCCCACGTGGTTGGGCCCACCGGTCTCGTCCAGGCACAGGTTCCAATCGATCCAGCCCTCGCAGCCCGAATTGAGGTCTGCGATGATGTTCATGGCGTAGCGCTCGCCTTGCTTCCAGTCCCCGAGCACCGAGCTCAGGGGCCTGCCCCCGAGCTCCTGGCAGCCCTCCGTGAAAAGGATGTGCTTGTCTGGCCGCAGCTCCGCGACCCTGCGCACGTTGTCGAAGCCCGCGCGGGCCCTCAGCTCCATGATTTGAGCGTCGCCCCGCTGCCTGTAGAGGGCCAGAATCGCAGTAAGCATAAGCTTGCGGAGGTCAGCCAGATTTCTTGGATCGGCGATGAACCCACTCCCTGGCGGGCGGAGCCAGAGGTTGGCGCTGGAGGCGCCGCCAGGGGGGTCCGGCACGGATCCAGAAAATCCGCGGACATCTCCGAAAGGTTGTGTTTGTTGAGTTTCTCCTTCTTCGATGCCTGTCGGTGAAAGGGACCTCTGACCGAGGTGGCCAAGACTCGAAGCGCGCGTCGCCATACCAATGGTACGCCAAGCCCCAGATGTACTTAGCGACCTCTGGGTCGCAGTACGCCGCGTGCGCGCGCTCGAGCATACCGTCACGATTGTGGTCCCAGACAAGAATCTTGACTCCGCCCAGCCCAGCTCTCTCCAGACTAGGGCCCAGGTGGTCTCTGACGAACACACACTCCTCCTTCAGGGAACAACTTGCGTTGACGGAAGAGCGAGCTATGAAAACCACTGGAGTTGCAAGATGCACAAGAACATTGGCAATGGCGGGGCCTCCCGCACGAAACACCACATGAAGATCAAGACACATCAACACATCAACGAACTCAAAGCACTCGACAGAGAGCAATGACGTGAATGCGATAAACTCTCACTTGTAGATGACATTGGGTACCAAGATAAATCAGGCAAGTGCCACATGTTTAGGGGCAAAACGATATCATCACGTGTCTAGCACAGCTACTCATCAACACTACAAAATCTAGCGGGCTACAAATTTGCAAGGGCGGGGGGGAAATGTGGATTTGCAGCCATAGCTGACACAAGCAGAGTATGAGGATGTCGCGGGGCGCCTGGGCAAACAAGGCCAGACTAGGCGCATCCAGAAGCCCAGCCAGCAAGGCACCAAATTCGGGCGACGGGCACTAGCAATGCTCAAGGTAGCGATGGTGACGCACGTGCCAGGGGCTTTGCTGTGTTATGCTGTGATGAACTAAGACGCGCCATGCCGCCTTGAGGTGCTGTGCTCTATTGCATTGTGGATCAGGTCGTCCGTGGCGTCAGATTCCCGATCGAACTGATATGGATATTAAGCTCGAGATGTGCTCTGTTGCATCGTGGATCAAATCTGCCCTGGCATCCGAATCCTGACAGATATCAGCTGGGCTTCAAGCTCGAGCTGTCTGGGCGCATTGCTCGCCCAGAGCTGATTGCAGTCGAGACATTATGAAAGAACTGTGTTCCGCAACAGGGCGGAATGATGACGGCGAATCCAACGCGAGGCGACATGCATCGCTGATGCACATTGTACGTTTCAGTTGAGGTGCCCCATCCTGGGGCTCGCACCCTGTTCTTATCAGGGAAAGTCTTGAGCGTCAAACTGCGCCACTGGCCCCCGAGTTACAACAATCACGGCTCCAGCCGAATACTTCCTCACAATGTTTTGAGAAATCAGTTTTCGTCTGGGACTTCCTTGCTATGTACTCAGGAATCGCGTTCTCGCCCGAGACTTCCTCACAACGTATTCAGATGCCGCTCCTCGACACTCAGGAATCGCACCCTCGCTTTGGACCTCGTCCCGATTTACTTGGGAGCCGCGCTCCCACTCGATACTTCCTGGCGATCCAAACACGATTCACGCTTCAACGAACCGCCCGCTCGACCCGCCCGTCGGGGCCTGCCCGCCCGACCAGCCCGTTAGGGACTGCAGTCGCCGCTCGCTGCCCTTCGCCCGCCTTCGGTGCCCCTCGATGCCCGTATTTGTTATGCGGTCTCCTTCGCTCGCTGCCCTTTTCGTGGCTCCGCATAACATGCCCTTCGTGGTCCCCGCTCGCACGCGCCCGCTGTGGCCCCACATGCATGCCCTTCGTGGCACCACTGTCGCCTTTTGTGGCCCCATCGCTGCCCTTCGTCGTCCCCGTTGCTACCCTCAGCGGCCCCGTCGCTGTGCACTGTGACCCTACATTATATGCTCGTCGTGGCCCCCGTTCCATACGAATGCCCTTCGTGGCCCCGTTGTCGCCATTCGTGGCCCCCTCGCTGCCTTTCGTGGTCCCTTTGCTGCCCTCAGTGGCCCCGCTGTCGCCCTTTCTGGCCCTATATATATATATATATATGTGTGTGTGCCCTTCGTGGCCCCCGCTCGTTCGCGCTCGCCGTGGCCCCATATGGATGCCCTTCGTGGCCCCGCTGTCGCCCTTCGCGGCCACCTCGCTGCCCGTCGTGGCCCCGTTTCTGCCCTCAGTGGCCCCGTCCTTGCCCTCTGCGGCCCCCATGTGCGTGTGCCCTTCGTGGCCCCCGTTCGTTCGCGCCCTTCGTGGCCCCATTGCTGTCCTCAGTGGCCCCGCTGTCGCCCATTGTGGCCCCTTCGCTGCCCTACGTGGCCCCGCTGATACCCTCAGAGGCCCCGTCGCTGCTTTCTGTGGCCCCACATTATATGCTCTTCGTGGCCCCCGCTCGCTCGCGCCCTTCGTGGCCCCGTACGCATGCCCTTCGTAGCCCCGCTGTCGCCCTTCGTGCCCCCCTTGCTGCCCTTCGTGGCCCCATCACTGCCCTTCGTGGCCCCGCTGTCGCCCTTCGTGGCCCCCATCGCTGCCCTTCGTGGCCCCGTTGTCGCCCTTCGTGGCCCCGCTGTCGCCCTTTCTAACCCCTATACGTATGCCCCTCGTGTCCCTTCTTTCCATCCGCCCTCTTCTTCCCGTGGCTGAGGGGTTGCACAAAATACACGCTGCAGGCAAGAAGGATATACCCCATAAAGGGGGTACGATCGAAGACGGAAAGGGCGGGGATCGAGGGTTTGGGATATACGTGTAGAATGGCACGCTAGCAGATAAGAGCGAACAGTTCTAAAATGATTGTTGGTGTTGTTGTTGGCGGCGTTGTTGGTGTCGTTATGTGTTGATGTTGTTGTTGCTGTTGCTGTTGTTGTTGCTGTTGCTGTTGCTGTTTTTGTTGTTGCTGTTTTTGTTATTGTTGTCGTTGTCTAGATTTCAAGAACAGGCCCCCCAGGCCAACCCCACCGTGCAAACCGCGGCCGCCAGACCCCAAGTTGTCCCGATGATCCGCAAGAGTCCCAGGTTTCCGGATTCGCGCCCTCGACGAACACGACAAAACACACCATGGCAGAGCAGAACAGGACAGAACGAAACAGAGCATGACAGAACAGAGCATATCAATATCATGCCTCAGTAGAGCATGACAGAACATCACAAAACATACCAGAGCAGAACATGACAGAACAGAAGACGACACACAACGACATAACAGCATAACCGAGCATAACATGACACACCTTGACATAACCGATCATAGCACGGCACAGTATCCCAGAAAAATATAATGTTACCACAGCAGGTCATAGCGACGACGAACACGACATAGCATTACATGACATAACAGAGCATGACAGGAAAGAACACGAGCATGACATAACATGGCAGAACAGAAACGGGTATAAGATCACATCACAGAACATACCAGACCAGATCAGGGCAGAACAGAAGACGACAGAACAAAACATAACAGCATAACCGAGCATAACAAAACACACCTTGACGGAGCACATCGTATCATGGCACAGCATCACAGAAAATATCAGATTACGACAGCAAAGCATAGCGACACATACTAGCAAAGCTTATCATAATAGACTCTACAGAGCCAAGCCATCAACAAACATAACATCACACAACATGCCAGAGCAGGACATGCCAGAGCAGAAGACGACATATCAAAACTTACAACAACAACAACAAAAAGAAAAAAAAAAAAAGAAGAAAAAAAAAAAACGTAACGTAACACACAATGTCCGAGCAGATCAGACCAGATCATGACAGCATCACAGAACAGATCCTATGCCGACAGCAAAGCACAGGTAAACATACGAGGAGAGCAAATCAGGGTATTCCATGCTGAGCCAAGCTGTCAACAACATCACGAATAAAGCATGATATAACAAAACTGAACATAGCAGATCATGTCATAACATAGTGTCACCGAGCAGACCATACCATAACATCTCGGCAGCGATGATCATAACAGAACGTATTCAACCAGAAGGGAAACATAAGTGAAGAGGAACATCATTGCAGACGACGCATCGCGTCACAACGTCACGCCGGCCCGTCGAAAACAGAACAGGAATAATAGAGCGCATCATGAAAGAACGTGACCACATGAAACACAATTGAAGCGTTTCCTGAATCCAGAAACGGCAATTCCCGACCAATTAGGCAACCGCTCGCCGTCGGAAACATACGCTGAAGGTTTCGGTGGGGATCGCTCGAAGTAAAATGATTGTCGCCGCCATTGTCGTCGCCATTGTTATTGTTATTGTTATTGCTATTGTTATTGTTATTGTTGTTTGCTGTTGCTGTTGAATATTTATTTCAAATACATGAAGATTGCTGATCTCCGGAAACGGTTCCGCGCGTTCTCGCCTCGATGCTGGCTACATTTCTCCGAAAACAAATCTCCCGCTCGAGCGTTGGCTTGAGCCTAAGTGCGGGCCCTTGGAGGCCCAGCTCTGACGACAGCGGCCCCCGCTCGACAATTCCTTACAATTTACCCCGAGACACCCTGGCCAGAGAGGCCCCCGAACTCAGGGACCGCGCTCTCGCTCGAGACTTCCTCGCAATTCAATCAAGTTGGCGGAGGCCCAGCCACGACGACAAGGGCTCCTGCTCGATACTTCCTCACGATTTACTCCGAGAGCCCCTGGCCAAGAAGGCCCCCGAACTCAGGAACGGCGCTCTCGTTCGAGACTCTCGTAATTCAGGCAAGCTGGTGGAGGCCGGACACGGCGACAAGGGTTCCCGTTCGATATTTCTCCATTGGTAGTCCGAGGACCTCTGGCCAACGAGGCCCCCGAACTCAGGAACGGCGATCTCGCTCGAGACTTCCTCGCACTTCAGTCAGTGGCCGACAGGGAGCAGACTCCCCCCGAAAGGGGGTGCAATCGAAGACGAAGTGGGCGGGCATCGAGGGTTGGGGTTACGGAATGCACGACACGCGTACCAGCATGAGCGCACAATCATAATTTGTTTGTCGTTGGTGTCGTTGCTGCTGTTGTTGTCGTTGCTTTTGTTGTTGGTGGTGGTGGCGTTGACGTTGTTGTCGTTCGTGGCGGTGGCGGTTGTTAGTGCTGTTGCTATGATTATTGTTGATGCTGTTGTTGTTGTTGGCGCTGTTATTGTTGTTGTTGCTGTTGGTGTTGTTGTTGTTATCGTATGTTGTTGTCGATGCTGATGTTGTTGTTGCTGTTGCTGTTGTTGTTGTTCATTGTCGTCGTTCCCCCCGCGACCCTGCCCGCGACCCGGCCCGCGACCCACTGGCGACCCACCCGCGACCCACCTGCGACCCACTCGCGGCCAATCCCGCGACCGACGGGCGACCCACCCGCGACCTACCTTGCGACCCGCCCGCGACCAACCCGCGACCAGCCCGCGACCCACCCGCGACCCACCT